TCCCTCTTGTTCTCCTTCTCTCCCTCTTGCTCTCCTTCTCTCCCTCTGGCCCCCTCTCATTTTTTTGTGATTTGGAGTTTTACAGTGAGCAACATTTTCAGTGGGGATTTCTTACTTTGAAAGAAGGATGACACAGTTTTGTGCACGTCTGCCATCAATAACGGACAGTTCTTTGACCTTCCGCGTACTGACGTATATGTCATCCATAGAGCCCGTCTCTTTCTGTAGAGGGGGAAAACAACAACGTAATTAGTTGGCAACTTTCCTTCTCATTTGGCTGCAAAATATTTCACTCATTAGCAAATTACCCTTGCTGAGAATTAACAAGGAGTTGATGTAGACTAACTATAAAAGCAAGTTGTTGGATGAAGCACAGGTTTAGACGATGTGCTTACAGCAAATCAAGTTACCTGACCTGTTTTTGCTCTTACAAACGGCAAACATCATGTAAGTGGCTTTGGGTCCGATGTCACAAAAACCCAAAGCAGGTTTTTGGTGAGTCACTGCTTCAAACACAATGCAAGACGCACTATAAACATCTTGGAGGAAGAGTTGAAAACTTGATCCAATCAAAGTCTGTGGGTTAGTTTTGTTAGACTCACACAAATGTTGTGTTTAAATTCTCCGAAGTGAAGAATACAAGTCTAAGGTTGTTTGAGGCTGCATGTTAAACACATTCTATTTATGTCCCAGGCTGGTTTCCTGTTCGCCAAAAAACTTTCTTATTTGAGGTTGTGGAGTATGACATATGCGAAACAGATGTAGATTGTAAAGAAAGTATTATTTTTCCATGTCCGTGTTGACCCGGGGAGTTTGGCAGAGGGCTGAGGTTGGCAGCAGGTTAGGGTGGACAACTCCCATCCATCAAAACCAACCAAAGCTCTCTCTGCCCTCACCCTGCAGCTATTGTTGCCAGCCTTTATGCATCAGGGGCACTAATGTAACTGGAATCATTTGAACTAAACAACGTGAGACCAGAACATTTAAATTTTCTGACAGTTATTAAAAGACACAGACTAAAATGTTAACATCCACGTGGCTGCATTTAAATTCACATCATCTGCCACTAATTTATACCAAGAACTTATGACACCATTAAATTACGATATACTTAAATTAGCGCAAGAAAAATAAAAATTGCACTGGTGACAATAAATGAGAGTCTTTGGGAAGATTATACCACTTCTGGCAATAATAATTTAACAAATGTGTAATTGAAATAAAAATAAATAAAATGTGGCTGAGGAATGGAATTAGAAATAATTAAAAAGTAAATGTGGTTATGGAGACTTGGTGGTTAAGGAGTCCTTTTTTTAGGATGTGGGGTCATGTAAGAGTTAAAAGTCCATCTATGATTGTCCCTTTCAAACTATAACTATTATAAAATTATTATTTTAATGACTTTGGAAGTAAGTTTCTAGCAAGACATTCTGTAAAGTATCCATCTGTATACGAAAGTCACTTTGATGTTACTGTTTATCCAACCATGTACATTAGAGGAAAATCATACAACATTAAGCATATTGGAGCCCCGAGGGTCAGCGTTTTGTCCAAAAACACTTGAAAACATGACAAGGCTGGCAGTCTAAACCTTGTCTTCCAGGTGGAAGATGGCCTCGTTCAACTGTCGTTCAGAAAATTCAAGAGATTTAATATTTTTGCTCAACTTTAGATTATACAATCTTTATTTTATTTTTTGCTTTTAGGTTGTAAATTAGACTGATTGCTAACTAACACAATAATGTTGAATGCTGGGCTCTGTCTCTGTCAAACAAAGAAAAAAAAAAAAAAAGATAAATGAAGCAGCAGAACAAAATAAAATAGTTTGCTGCCCAGTTGTAGTCACATTTATTTCAAACAGTAATACAAATTATGACTGTGCACTTTAAGGGACATTTTGATTCCTCTTATGTGAAGTTTGAACCTATAAGAACCTAAGTTAAGAATCTAAAAAAACCTTTCCAATTTAATTTCTGGATTCAATGAAAATGTGTTTATTTAGCTGATGCAATTTTTTTTTACTAAATACTTTAAATTCAATTCAGTTTATTTGTATAACACCAAGTCACAACAGAAGTCATCTCTGGGCACCGAACAGAAACATTCATATACATAAAAAGTAAATTAACACTATTTATATGTTACTATTTACTATTAACATTTACTATTTACTATTTTAGATGTTAGTTTTGTTGGCTTGATGTTCAAATGGAGCAAATAGCAACAAAGAGACATGCTTAAATAGTAAAATAGTGAGATGTAAAGTCAAAACTATGAGCTAAAAGAAAGCCCAAGACTAAACCAGCGTGCAGCCTGGTATTTCACCTATTTTACTACATACAATTTGATTGTCGCAATCATTAACTCTTGATTTGAGACATTATCAGCCAAAGCTTCAAAAGAAAGAAACTTCAGAAAATTAAACTCAGTACTCAGTACGCAAATAAACAGCTCTTTCTGACCACTGCAGTGCAGAAGAGGAGGCAGCTGCAGCAATAAAAAGGAAGTTAACTGTGTGATCAGATGCTCAAGAGCTCTTTAACTCACCTGTTTGAAGGATTGGTTAGTTAGCAGGTCCTGCCCAGGCATTCGAAGAGTGCAGAAAGACAAAAATAAAAATGAAAAACATTGAAAATACATGCAAGGAACAGCATTTAAAGCTAGAAAAAAAGATGGTAGCCAGTGCAAAGAGCTACAGCTACTATTAGCACACTTCAAGCTGAAGGAAGCTCTCGAGAGAATAATCGTCTGTCAGAGTCAACGCGGTTTCAAAGAATCAATAAGAGGCTAAAAGATGAACAGAAAGAGTTTCCTAGTTTGGTTTTTGTCTTCTGAAAGAGCTTACAAGTGTTCTATTTATATTATTTAGATGTTATCTGCTTCTATCTTGACATGAAATAAAGCAAAACAATAAAGTATGATTGAGGTAGCTACTCCCACAGAGTGCAAATGTAAACCAAAGCCCATTTGGAAAGAAAGACTTTTAAAAAGAAAATTTGCTACGTATAAACATGCCAATAATGTCTCGTTGAATTTAAATTGAATGCAGCTCCTGCCAAAGGGAACAGAGTTGTCAAAGCCAGGAAGATGGTTGTTTTTTATGCGGCCACATCTACTAGGATCTGTGTTTAATCGTTTTGCTGCGCGGAAAAAAACCTGCTCTGTATAAATAAATACCTGCGTTAAATCAAGGTCAACAACCTCAAATGACCTATTACTCTTCAATTAAAGCTTACACTGAGACGTTGTGATTTTAGATGTCAGACGACTTTCAAATATGGCGGCAATGTATATTTAACAGGAATTCAGCACCAGAGATGATGCACTTCACTTTCACAGTCTTAAAGACTTTATTTTAAACTGATTACTAAAAACCAATTGGAGCAAATTAACACCACTTAAACCCTTTTTGTGCACTCAGTTTTACTGCATGGGAAGTGTGCAATTAGTTCACAGCAGAAAGGAGAGTAATTGCTATGTGTTGTATGTCACTGCCATTCTATTAATTAGTCCATAATTTCACATCATTCGCTGAATAGTTTATTTGATTTTGTTTGTTTCAGTAAAGTGTCTTCTTAGCATCACACTAATTCCTGAGCCAGTGAAGACTCTCAGCCAGTTCTCACACAAACGCTCTGTAGATGCTAGCAAAAGCTTCAATGAGGCATTCATTGGTGAACAGCTGCTCATGTTAGCATGAAGCTGGATTCTTAGAAATATAGAAAGTTTTCCAAAAGTATCCCATTCCTCTGCCTATCATGCACTTTCCACAGTACACACAGTTCAAGAATTCAGGCACAACTGGTGCTCCAACAAGATCTTTGGTACATGTGCACCAGAAAAAAAACAACTTTCAAACAGGTGTATCAGAGAATAGTTAAACCCACTGACAAATCCACACCTGTTGTCTCTGATACGCTGAAAACATCTTCTCTATGTCTTTCAGGTCAAGAATCTTGAAGGCTCTCAGGTCATCAATGTCATTCCAAATGGTGCCATTGATCATGTTCTGAAACAAGACAAACATACAGTGAGAGCTTATCATGTGAGAGGCAAATCTTCAAATTTTATGTTAAAAACACAAACACTTCAAGGACTTAGAACTTAATTAGCATAAATTAGGTGCAAATTAACAGACACTGAATGTATGTGCCATCTACACCATAGAGGCAGGTGATGGACGTATAAATCAGATGATGTGATGCAAAGAGGCTTGTGAGATAGTTACAACCCTGGATGTGGAAATTGTTGCATCCTGGAAGTCCTCTGTTAATATGGTTTACAAAAAGTCAAGCCCTTGAAAATAAAGGAACCACATAGGATGTGTTTTCTTACTGAAGTCATATATTAAAAAAAAAAAAGTGCATCATGTTGCGACACCCTGTGGCAAATCTGCAGATTGTAACCAACTGCTTCTTCATTTGCTTTCATGTGCATGGATTAAACTACAAGAATGCTAAAAAAAAATAAAGAAGAAAAGCTTTCAGTAGATCTATTGTTGGTTTTTTTTTCTTTTTAGACGGTTCAAGAATAACTGAAGGAAAAGCAAATGGGGATTCATGCAGTGTGGAGATGCTTATGTGTTGTTGGACTGTAACTTTGAGTATGACAGCAACACTTCAGTAATCAATGAATGAACGGATGCTTCTCCAGATGGAGGACACAATAGCTTGTAAAAACAACAGCACTAATTTATAGCCAGAGGCAGATAGTGCAATTAACATGCGCACTGAAGGTAATGATATTGATGAAACTTAAAATAATGGTATTGGTTCACCATTGTCGCAGCAATAATTCTTATTGTTATGGCTACATGTCTCGAATTGTGAGGGAACAGCAATCACTTTGTAAAACTAAGTTTAAGAAGAAAAAAAATCAAATCATCTTAACACAGCTCGTCTTTACGAGGTCTTCTCTCACCTCTCCAAGTTTGGCCCAGTTGAAGGACTTGAGAGGATGAGATGGCTGCGGGATGGACTTGGAGCGCATTGTGCACATGGAGTTAAATGAGGGTATAGGAGGAGGTGGAGCTCCAAAAATGGGAGGGGCACCAGGTGGGGGAGGCGGTGCGCCTGGTGGAGGAGGCGGCGGTGGAGGAGGCGGGCAGCTGAATGGCAGAGGAGGTGGTGGTGGAGGAAAGCCACCTGACATGGGTGGGGGAGGTGGAGCCATGGGAGCGCCAGGAGGTGGAGGGGGAGCCGGTAAAGACACGTTGCTGCTCTGCTGAAAGACAAACAAGATAAAAGTTAAATTACATTATGTAAAGTTGGTAAAACTTTATGGTAAATAACTGTGTGAGACTATTAAAAACGAGACAACAGCAGGAGAAAACATCTGTCTACATGAGTTCTTTCCCAGATGTTCTGTCTATTCCAACACATTTCGAGTTCATCCCTACTATCAATGCAGAAAAAGGATGAACTCACTCACAAAATGCGCCCCAATTAAAACTTTTTGGGCTACCAACTCTAATAAACTGAGTAATACAGCTCCCTTTAAGGAACATCTCTCCACTTTTTCTTTACCGATACTATGGAGAGCATGTTTTACTGAAACTTGTTGATTTTGGCTTGGAAAAAGGTTTGTAGAGAGCTAAATACCTTGTTACTGTAGCCTCTAAAATCAGCCAATATTTACAAACGTGCTAGTACTTAAGAACAACTGCAGCTACAAGTTGCTGGTGGTTAATTTATTTAGTGGAGTTAAACCAGAGGAAGGCAACTTGTTTTTTTGTTGTTGTTTTTTTCCCCCAAAGGGCCACATCAAGACGTTTAAAGCAATCAAAGTGCCGCATAGAGAACTGGAAAATAAATTATCTTTATGACAGATTATCTAGAAGACCTTTTCAAGGTTGTCCTTGTAGCATCGTTAGCATACTTTATAAAAACATGTCTTTCCAATACCCTTTAGGAATATACGACATATTCTGTAAACTGGCTCTTGTGACATTATATTATACCGGTTAGCTTTACATACTATGTTAGCATAAATATGCAAATAAAATTTGTGTTTCTAAGTCTTTAAGATTACGTCTAGTTCTGAAAACACAATGACTTAAAAATGTTTTTAAAAAGTTTTGTGTAAGATGTTTAATTTAATCAAGGTTCGTGCTCAATCATCCAGGTACCAAATCCAATAATGCTCAGTCCGGTCACCTGGACAGTTTCTTTTTTGTAGAGACATTTTGCCCTCTATCCAGAGGGCTTCATCAGTCTGAGGAGTACCAAGTAAACGGTTTCCCCACCAAGCAGTACACTCCTTAAGTGGACCAACCAGTTTGACGGAGAGAGCGAAACAGCTCTATAAAAAAGAAACTGTCCAGACCTGACTGAGCATTATTGGATTTGGTACCTGGATGATTGAGCATGAACTTTGATGCCTTGAACCATTTTGGCTGTGGCTGCCTGCCTGGGAGGAGTTGACGGGGAACAGGACAGTCCCCAGAAACCATCTTATCTCCACCAAACTGGTTGGTCCACTCAAGGAGTGTACTGCTTGGTGGGGAAACAGTTTACTTGGGACTTCTCAGACGGATGAAGCCCTCCGGATAGAGGGCGAAACGTCTCCTCTACAAAAAAAAAACTGTTCAGATGACCTGACTGAGCATTATGGGATGTTTAATTTAAATGTCCTTAAGTCTCATTGATACATTGCTGTTTTTTTTATTATTATTATTATTATAAACCTTTGTTTTATAGATAAGGATATTGGGGGCCTGATGGAGATTGTCCAAGGGCCACTTTTGGCCCTCGGGCCATCAGTTGCCTACATCTGGTCTAAACCAAACTATTTAGGTTCAAAATGTTTTTTGAGTAAAACTGATTATTTCTAGATAAAAAGTTGCAAAGTTTTAGCATGGCTCACAGTGATGTCGTTGATGCGAGATGACAAGTCCATCACTTGCTCCCTGGCCGACCGCAGCTCCACACCCTCACGTTGTAGCTTGTCCTTCATCTTATTCAGAGTCTTCATCATGTCTTCCTTCTCCTGGGTCTTCGTCTCACATTCCCGCTCTTTCCTCTCCAGTTTAGCTAGCAGCTCGGCATGGTCTAGAGGTAAAATAAAAACAATTAAAATTTTAAATTGCATGATGTAGATTTTGCATGTAGGAAAATAACAGGATTGGAAGGACAAGATAAGATATTTTACCTTTCCTGAACTTTTCCGCCTGCTCTCGCCACAGTTTTACCTCGTTTTCATTGACCAGCCTGTGGAGAAACAACAAAAAATTAATGAGCACAAACAAAAAACAAAACTGGGTCTCATAAAAAGCTCACAGCTGGGGGTCAACTGCACTCAGAGTCAAGCTGGGACATTCTGAGGGAATTCAATCATTGGATTGGAAACCCATTGATGGGTGACACTAATCCTTAACTTCCTTTCTGTGAGGGGGACTCAGATTGATCACCAGCATTGGCAGAGTTGCTGCAGTTTGCGCAATGAAGCTCTGAAGGGCAACATTAGTGCTGAAATAAGTTCTGCTGGGCTGAAATAGTTTATATATTACCAGTTAATATATTTGGGATTTGGTTTAGCTTGGGGTCTGCAGTTAAGCAGATTTTATTAATAAAAAAATAAAAGAATGAATAGGAAACAGGTCTGAGAGAAAAAAAAATAGATTAGAAATGGGATGTTTTAAAAAGATTTTGAAAATGATGAAAAATTGGAACGTGAAACCTGGAGCACTGGTGGTAGCCTTGGCTGGAGTCGAGAGAATAGACAAGATTTATACAAATTAGATAGGATACAAATTTTCAAAAGTATAAAAGAAAAACAAATGCAAAACGTCAGGGATAATAATTCTCTTTTCGTTGCTTTCAATCAATTCACAATAGTCATTTCACACAGAAATAAATCAAACTTATAATCAAAATCATGTATTCAAAGTGTTTGAAGAGAAATTTGATTAATCTGTGCCGTTTTAATTTCAAGAACGGTTCGTATCCATACTGACTGGTCAAAAAAGCTGTGGAAAACTGAGATTTGTAGAAAAAAAAAAACATGTTAATTTCAGGTCAGACAGCCGTGTAAGTAGTCAGAGCCATCGCCATGGTGACCACAGATGATGAATGACTTTGTCTGCCAGTTGTTTTAACAGTTGTTTCAGCGAGCCTGCTCTCTCTCTCTGCGCCGTCATGGCACGAGCCGTACATTTTCACCGTTAACAGTCAGGGGCCCCCGGCACGCAGCCAACACAATGAGGAAACCTCTGTCCGTGCACTCTTTTTTTCAAACAATTTACTCTCGGAGAGTTTCTGGAAACACAATAAGACTTTGGCAGGGATGCTAAGTGGAGGGGTGGACTTTGACCACTGTGATGGATCTGCAATGGGCAGGAATGAAATGTTTGGCCTCCGACGCAGCATCACTTTCTCTGCGCTACTGGAAAGAATCGCATTTGAGTGATTGCAAAAACAATGGTGGCTGAATTAGTGAACAAAGCCGGAGCTGGCAGAGGCCAACGTGTACCACGCTACATGTTTTATGGTGCTTTCACCACAAAGACTAAACACATTAATCACTAATTGTGAAGCTGGTCTAAACATAACAAATCCGGGGAGAGCGGAGGAGAAGAAACATGGTGAAAAACAGGAATGGAAGGTTGTCAGGAGGAGAAACTGAGATGAAATACGGTATGGACAAAGCTGTAAACACAACCTACACACCGCACTAAATCAACGGAACAAAAGCGCATATCTGTTGCTAAATTCAGTGAAACCCACGACCGCAAAGCCCAGCAAACGTCAATGATCATTTACAAAACATTCACTTTGAGCAACAGCTACAATGACACGTCCAAAACCTCTAAGTCACAATGCTCCTAAATATAATGATTCTTCCTCCTTGTTATTTCCTCCACGATGGAGTGCCTGCTTCACTGCACCTACACATGGATGACTTGGTCAACTCTTGATGTGATTAGAGCACTTTTCTTTTGATCTTTGGTTTCCGCTTTCATGCCAACTCACACTCACAGTGATGTTTCCTCTGATTCAACCACTAGCCCCCCGCAGCCACCTTAATATCAGCTCGTCTTCCCTGTACAGTCACATTCTGCAGGTCAAACCTGAGGATTGGCTTACAGCAGATTTATACGGCCTAAAGCTGATGCTCAGTTTATTTTATTCCAAAATGTCTTCATCTGGCATCAACAGTCGATTTCTAGTTTTGATCTTATCTTTCACTGAATGCTTAATTTAATCATAAGAGTAAGTTTACAGCATTGGAGGATAAGCCGAAACTTTTAAAATGTCACAGCGTAGCTCTCACTTACATGCGAATAATGTTTTTAACACTGAAGTTGTCCAGAGGTGCAACATCAGGGTCCTCTCCCTTGTCGTCCTGTAGGACAATTTGCTGGAGGATCCTGTCTAAAAGCTGCCAGTGCTGCAGGCTGCAGCCGCCACGTTTATCTGAGATAGAAGACAAAAGCAAACATGAAAATGTAAAGGAACGTTGAGATCCATATACGATATTAGAACACCTGGACAAATTAAAAAAGAGTTGGTTTTGAACTTTTTTCCCCTCACTCACAGGGCATCTGCAAGCAATGCTGAAGGATTGAGAGGAGATGAGGGTAGGAATCTGTGTGGCTCAGTTTCTTCTTGATCAGCTCAAACATGGCGCCAGCACACTTTGTATCTACATGAGTCTAGATGATGAAAAGAAAGGAGAACATCTGACTGGCCCAGTCAAACAGAAAAACACTAGTGTCTAGCTTTGACCTAATAATAAAGAGAGCTGTTTGAGGATATCCTACTCACCATATCAAATCTTTTTGCCAGTTCAGAGTCATCCTCATTTCGCACCATCTCAAAGAAGTCCAAATGCCTGAACATAAAGGAAGAAACACGGTAGAGGAACAAATAGCACCCTTACTGAAGAAAACAGCCTCATGTAGCCATTACTGTAAGATTAAGGTGTACAGTAGAACTCGCAACAATAAGAAAACAGCTCAGCAGATCACTCACCTATCCAGAGTGGCGTTTTCATGCTCTCTGAGCTTATCGATGACCGGCTGAATGCCCAACATCAGGAATTCGTACCTTAGGTGGAGGCGAAATTCCAAGTTGTCCTGACAATTGAAAAATAAACAATAAAAAAGGAGACATAACTGTTTTGACTTGTGACAAATGGTATTGTCTTATTAGATGCAACAAAGTGCGTATACCTCCTATGCAAAACATTTGTTTTATCAGCTAAACCCAACAAGTCAGCAAATACTGTAATAAAGTTAGCCAAATTGTGATTCTAAATACTACCACCTAAAATTTCGAAATAGACAAATACTTTCTTCTTTAAAGTGGTACATAACTTTAACTGATTAGTTACAGGTTGGAAGTTTTGCGTCAAAGTAATATTAGGCTCTCAAGCGTAATCTTGTCATTAAATTAAGGGCAAATTGGTGCACATTTTGGACCATATGGATATAAACAAGTTTTGCTAGAATCTAGTAAAAAAAAAGTTGATTAGGACATTATTATTGAATGCAGACCTCTCCTGCTCCTGCGTTGAGCACAGCGTTGATGAAGGACATGATGGCGGTCTTTAAGCTGACCTCATCTCGGTATCGACCTGTACTTCTATCCAGCTCATTCAGGAGAGTCTGGACATAGAAACAAACAAACAAAAAAAAAAAAAACATTGGAGAGTTAGCCAGAAATAAATAAAATATGTTTTACAGCTAAAATTAGACATAAACTGAGATAAAACATAAACATATATACTTGTTAAAAAGTCATGTTAACTGAGCAAAATTAAATGCTGTAGAAAACAAGGTAACACAGGGCCCCTGCTCTCAGTTGTCCAACACTTTACAGCTTCTAAACTGACCCATAACATACTTGAGCTTAATCATAACTCAAACCAGCATTAAAAGGCTTCAGACATTCTCAATTATTCAGCTCCCGGGGTGTTAGCTTAGCCTGAAGTGACATGATTTACCACATACCAAGGGGTTGTGTAAGATGTGGCTTGTTGACTCAGCCTTGCTACTTACTAAAGCCCTTAGCATGCAGTGACCCCCATAAGTCTAAATGTCCTTGTCCCTTCTCCTGAATATGGATGGTATGCTGACCTAACCTGAGGCCAAATGTCTGAGGTACTTTAGGACAAGTAATCAACTTGTTTAAATGACCACAGCTTGATTTATTTGAGCATTATCTTGAAATATTGTGTCTGCCTTTAGCCTCCTGCTACGACTCAAATATGCCTGCACAAAAATACTGAACAACAGTCTTAAATCACCCCTGATTAGTTTATATTTGGTTTCAAAGCTTTCTAAAAGTTGGACATTGTTTTTGTGTTTGACGTTAGCTTTTTCAACTCCTTCAATCCATATGTTGTAGCTAGCGATTTTCAAAATAATGTGGTTTGTTTATGGTCTTTAACACTAAACTATACATTAATTGAGCATGAAACAGACATCTAAGCTCAAAGAATGAAACAATGTAGCGTCTACACATAACCACATCTCCTCCACTGGTTTGGTTTAGTGCATATAAAGATCTTTTCACATTTCCTCACCTGGAATCGAGTCCTCTCTGCAGCATATTTCTGATAATGCGCCATGGCCTGCAGAACCTTCTTATGTCCATCAGGCACCAAGCAAACTGCACCTAGAATCTCCAGCACCGCCACTTTGGTTTTGATGTTCTCTGTCCGAAGGCTCTGCGAGATGGTGTTGATGCTCTGAGGGTGGGTCAGAACATGTGTGCGGCCCTGTGAGTTATTCATGAGGGCCTTGATGCAGCCAATGATGGAGGTGTGGATGCGGCTCTCTGACGTCTCGTAGTCCATGCTGCGCATGAAGTTGAGCAGGCAGGTGAGCCCGTCGAGTTCGATGAAGCGTGTGACAAACCTAAAGGATTAAAGCAAGTACATGGTAAGAATGGTAAAATACCATTAAATACAACTTTGTTTTGAAAGGGTCAGAATATAGAGAAAAAGACTAAAGTAAATTTGCAAATTGTCATTGGAAACCAGTACTTCCTCCAGTTGTTTTTGTCAAATTCCAACGATTGTTGTGGTATCACTTTGCCAGTCACAACTACTGTCTAAACAGACCCAGATTAACAGATTTCTTAGAAGCATTATGGTTTGCTCACAAAAATTTGATGCACAACAAATCTTTTCTTCCTAGCCATTCCAACAAACCCTTATCTTTCATTCACAAATCACTTGCTTCTCACTAAAACCATAATTAAAAGCAAACTGGCCACTTTTAAACTACAACACCTCAATCTAATGAGGTTGAGTCAGGTTCGCTGGACAGGATCTGTGTTTTGAACCTGTACACTCCACACTGGTTTGTTGTCATATTTATTATCTGCATCGTTTTTATGTCTATATTTTTGATTTACTTGATTTTGTATATTGCTTTGTGTGTTGTCTGTTGTTCTGTCTGTACAGCACTTTGGTTGGCCTTGTAGCCGTTTTAAGTGCTCTATAAATAAAATGGTATGGCATGGTATGGTATAGGTTCTTTGTTGAAATGCTTCTTCTTTTACCCAAAATACTTTTTCAGTCTGAGGAGCTGCAGGCAAACAAGCAACACCTTCTCATAGTGAATTAACCAGTTTGCTGGTGACAGCCAAAACTATTTGTTTACCTGCAAAAGGAGGACCATAGGTCTAACAATGGGTTGTTAGTGCACTGATGGCCATTTGCTATTCTCAGAGGGCTGAGTGATGCAATAACAGCATTGTAAGAGGGGGACAGTTGAACAGGGAAGCCTCCAACCCTGTTTATTTAATGATGGACAGGTTCTCTTCACAAAGATGGCCTCCTTTACTCCTCTCTCAAACCATTGTTCCTTTCTATCAAGGATGTGAACATCTTCATCCCTGAAAGAGTGACCGCTGGCCTGGAGATGAGTGTAGACCGCAGAGAGTCCTGGCCTGACGATGTTGCTCTTCTGTGCTGCGCCATCCTTTTGGCCAGTGCCAGCTTTGTTTCCTCAATGTATAACAGATGACAGCCATCCTGGCACTTAAAAACATAAGCAATACCAAAAAAGTCCATGCTCAATAATGCAGGTATACAATCCAACAATTTTCAGTCAGGTCATCTGGACAGTTTCAGCATCAACATAACTGGTTTGTTCCACTTTGGAGTAAGCTGTTTGGGGGAAGAATCAGTTTTGTGCGTTTTCTTGACTGATGAAGCCTTCCGGATGGAAGGTGAAACGTTTCAGGAAAAAAAAAAAAAAACTGTCTAGATGACCTGACTGAAAATTGTTGGAACATACACAATATTATTCCGTTTGTGCCGGGGGACTGGATCTTTGGGATGGATCGGTCTTTGCCGTAATCTATTTTGGGGTTTGAAAGCCACTGGGATGTCGTGTTTAGAAAATAAATGTCTCAGTTTCTCTAAAACTCCTGCAACATATGGAATAACTGGACTGGGTTCATTCTTTTCACCCAATATCTGGCTGGAGTCCTGTTTGGTTTCGCTTCTGTTTTCAGGAAGACCCAGTTAGTATATGCACACTGCTCCAGGGCACATCTTGTGTGGGATTTCTCATTCTCCCTGGCATCGGGATCGATGGGACACTGTCCGCTCTGTGGTACAGAGTCCTGATGACTCCTAATTTGTGCTCCAGTGGGTGATGGGAGGCAAACTGCACGTACTGGTCTGTGTGGGTGGGTTTGTGGTACACTTCATTTTCCAAATGTCTTCCATCAGTGACTGAGACCTCACAGTCCAAGGAAGCCAACCTGCCATCTTTTACATCTTCTCATGTGACTTGATATATTTATCCACAGAGTTGATGCGATCAGTGAAAGTGAACTTTAATTTTTAATTTTAACCCAGGTGTCATCAACATACCTGAACCAATGACTCGGTGATGTCCCTGACAAGATTTCCAAGGCTGTCCTTGCTATCTCCTCCATGTACATGTTTGCAAAAATAGTAAAAGCTGGAGACTCCATATCTAACAAAGTTGTCATGTCCTCTGGACGGATTTAAAAAAAAAAAAAAAAACTTGTTGAAACGTTTCATCTTTAATCCAAAATACTTTGTCAGTCTTAGGAGCTGCAGTAAACTCTGTCTTATAAAGCAGACCCTTATAATAGTGGCTCAACCAGTTGGGGACCCCATAGCATGTAGGACATGAGAGGTGAGCACATTTCTCTCCTCTCTGCTGATGTTGGAAGGAAGTATCACTCAACCCACTGTAACTAGCCAGTGGCCATCACTGACGATTGGTTGTCAGGCTGATGGTCCTCCATTTGCATGTGAACAACTAGTTTTGGCTATCACCAGCAAACTGGTTAATCCACTATGAAAAGGTGTTGCTTACAAGACTGTTTGTTGCAGCTCCTCAGACTGAAGAAATATTTTGACAAAAGACATTCCATTTCAACAAAGAAGAATCCATCCAGAGGACCTGCCTTAACCTTGTTAGATTTATCTACCTGGATTATTGAGCATACATCAGGATATAACAGCTCAAGTTCACCTCGTCAATGACTCATAGCTCACAGTAGCTGAACTAATTAGAAAGCAGTGAGTCATTGACCTCCATGAGAAAGAAGTGACAAGCAGGACATGTAAACACTGAAGGATGTCACATCCAGTGAGCACAGTGTGGGCTGTTTTGTAAATGAGTTTCCCACTCAGTAAGATTCCTGATAGGCCTCATAAATTATTTCAAACAATTGAGGGTTTGTAAGATGGAGCAAAAGATGGCAACAAGACAAAATCTTGCAAAGGAGAAAAAGAGGATGGAGTGAAAGACAACTTAAAAGGACAAAGAAATAAGTTAAGATTTTTGGCAGCTTCTTGTGGTTGATTCATGAATTTGACACTACTAGACAGCTCTAGATTCATCCTCCTCTTCTGCTGTCTTGGCTGAAGCATGCATACAAACAATGCCAAAAAACTTCTTAATCTATACAACTAATATAATTCACACAGTAAAAATGGCTTCTCCCTTGCTCACACACAATGAATTCCAGACCTTAAGCAGATGTCTGGGAATAAACAAAAACATCACCTGGCACAGTCATGCTTCTGAATTCCAGCAGTGATTTGATGAGATCGGGAAGATCTTCATGCGTGCATGCATGGATACAATCAACCATTTGAAATGGCGCATTGAAATCTCAGCAATAACAAGCCAGCCGACAGTGTGCTTCTTGTTTGAGCTCAGCTGCTTCAGCCTCCACTTCGCACCAAGGTGGTGAAAAATAAATCCCACATTTTAAATATGATTAGATTCTGATTAAACACAGACACTGCAACTGGTCCAACTGTAATAGCTGGACTCCGTGACAAGTGTTTGGCCAGCACAGATACCAGGAACAGCTTTACATCTGCTCATGAACTTAGGGCCAACTCCGAAAGAACTTTCATTGTGGAAGACAAATTAGGCTGAACATCCTTGTGATTAATGTATGGAAAACAGAGGGCGAGAGATGTTGTTCTTGGAGTCTGGATTCAAAAGTATGGATGCAATTCAAGGCTTAGCTCTCTGCCTGCTTTGCATCACTCTGCTGTATCACAGACAGTAAGCAGAAACCCCATGTAGGGATTATGCACCACAACTTTATCCATCTGTATGTGATCTTATAAAGGAAGTGAACAAGCAGAAGATATCTGCAGCCAAGGACAATCACCTGCTCTAATCCTCTAACAGCTAACAGCCAACATCACTCTTCTCCTCTTCTTCCATACTTCACATTCTCTTCATTGAGCTCTTAAATCAATACAATTCCTTTTGTCTTCTGCAATCGAAAGAGTCAGTCGGCTGGCATAAAAATCACATGAATTTCCATTTTCTGGAGGAAGGGCTGAATGCTTTAAGAGCCACTTAGGTTCAACAGCTGCTGTATGTGGTATGAGCAGAGGCAAAGCTGATGAACAGTACTTAAGGTAATACCACACAAAAACAGACAAAAATACCTTCACATAGAAAAGTTAACAAAAAGAAGGCTTTGAATGATGTTAAAAATGAAAGGGTTTAAGATAAGTCAAGGGTCAAAGCCATGTATGCTTTCGTTGACTACATAAATGATTGCCATTGTTGAGAGTTAGCCTTTGAGGGTCATACCATTTCCATTGGTCAAAAAAAGCAGAAAATCCCCCAACCAGCAGCAAACAATATTCATAATGAGCAGGATGGAGTGAAAAACTAATCCAGATGCTCAAATTTTAAATCAGAACTCGAGTCCAGCTAAACCGATTGTTTGAGGTTTTCGCTTTAGAGGCCAAACTGTTTTTTGTTTTTGAACCGAGGATGACCCATGTGTGGCAGACAGACTGCCTCGCAGCAAAACCACACAAACTCCTTTGAGTCCAACGCTTCCACACGCACAAACTCAAGTGATCATGTGCTCTCTGAGGCCTCTCTTCTGCCCTTCATATCATCACACTTAAAGCCTCGTTCAAACACCCACTCATCTAGACCCTGGGACATGTGCATGCATTCTCACACAGGTCTCGTTTGACTATGATAAAGACCAGAATGTGAATGAGAGCTGTTAGAGGGTTGTAGGAGGCACCAATTACAGCTAACTGACTGGAGGTGTTTGCAGGACTGGGATCAGATATAAAATAAAACCAGTCCAACACTCACTATAAATATATCTTTGTGAATCCTGGCATAGATTTGAGGTACATAAAACTTGCACATGTAGAGAAAACGATAAAACTCTTGGCCAAAGGGTACATCTGTGGTAAATTTGTGTAAAGAACACGTTGGCATAAACATACTGGTTCTCATGGATAAAGTTTATTAGTAAATCCTCAGGGAGAGGTTCATGAGCTGGTCTGTCAGCTCAGGTGGTCTATGATAACATAATGACCCCTGCAATTCGTCACAAAAAAAAGTCAGCTGAAAACTAAATACTGCACTTCTGCAACAATGTCAAGAGTCAAAATTATAAATTTTTCCCTAACTTGATATTTCACAAATTTATCTCACTGCATGAAATATTAATTGAAATGACCAGTTGAGATGATAAACACATGAAGAAACATTTTCAAGTAAAAATTCCATACAGACAATTTTGTTTTTGCAACCAGATAAGTCCCTTCCTGTTGTTAAAAAAAGGACTTTTAAGTTGTGTCTTTGCTTTAACGCCATCTGTTGTTGATGAGATGCTTGTATCGCCTACTTTCTCTCTTTGGGCAGACTTCGTGTTGAAACTATACATAAAATATGATGCAACCTTAATTTTTTTTGGGACCAGACTTAGCAGACTGCCAACACACTGGATTACTCTGCTCCCTTTGCACAAAGGTAATAAAACTTAAAAAGACAGTGTTTGGTCTATGGTTACTGGAATAAAATCAGATTTTCATGGTACATCATTTGGTGTTTTTTGATCTAACTGTCAAACAAAGTCATGGCAAATTTCTGCAGTTTTAATGTGCAATGAAAGTAAAAAAGTATTTTACATGCCAAGCCACACTGACTAGTTCACACATACATTAACACAGTTAACAAACCCAATTCTGTTTGTTTAAGATTTTATTTCTACGAATGTGTTACAAGCTACCTTCTTTTCTTTATAGTTAAGAGGGAAATTGGCCTTCTCAAAGAAGCAAACACATTGCTTTGGTCTAAACGTGTGATTCTCTGCTCTTCCACTAATACATTATTTAATATGTGACAGCAGAAATTTCACTCTCTGTTAAGCGGAACCTTTATGAGATCTGGCTTCAAGATGCTTTTAAAAATAATATCTGTTTGTGTTGGTAGCAGATCGTCCAAAGGGTTATTGACACAGGAGCAGGGCGGTAGAGATATCAAAGGCATAAGTCAATATTCTTGCTGGAAACTATTCACAAAAACTATCCAGACAGCTGTTTCAGGAAGCACTGAGTTGCTCTAATGATGAGTCTTTGACTGCAGAGCATCTTGACCAGACCAGCCCCAGTTACCCAAAAGAAAAGCTTGGTTTTCTAACCCCCAGCAGTTATTTCACAACTACATGGAAGCAAATGAGGGGTGTCAAGCTTTAAAAGCATGAATGCTTACTGAGGTTTTCAACAGAAACACAAATACTGCAGATGTGCATTTTACTCATACAGTTTTATAGTTATATTCGTCTATATAATTTGATGAATGAATGATGATTTGAGGTGAGATTTTATTTTACACAAGTAAATATACTTCTCTACCTCCATTTGATAATTACCTGTAAATAAAATATTAAATTTATTGAAAAAGCAATTTAGGGTGTATGGAAAATTATTATTATTAAACTGTAATTATGTCTTCTCTTTTTTGAGGCATGGTTGATTTTTGTCTATAGTGGTTTCATGACGTTGCATTCTATCTGATGTACCAACTCTATTTCTATTCAACCTTCCCAGTTCTGTGTAAAAGGTCAAAAGTTCTGTCCAAATGTACAAAGAAGAAATGAGGAGTATTGAAAATGCTAAACAAATGTTAATGGTTGTTTGAATTTGGCTTGTCTTAAAAGGACTGAATAGTCAATTTTCTTTTCACTAAAGTCTATAGTTAGGTTTTTATGTCACTCATGGTCATGTTACATGTTTTGCTGTTCTTAATGGATGAAGGTCAATAAAATAGTGCCTGCTAGCAAAAAAAGATGAACAACCATCCATGATAAATGTAAAGTTAACTACAAAGTATTAATAACTTCATACCAGCTCTGTGTAGTGAAATAAAGCACGTTTCAATTAAATAACCAAGTAGGAATGCAAAAATATATGTCAAGACATTAACACCATGCTATCTTGAACAAGCAGACTGACTTTTTTGATAGCTTGTACTAAAATTATAAGGAAATATTAACCACTGATAGAAATAAAAAAAAATGCATTGCAATTACTGCAAATAATTTGCAGCCTTCCAACTGTGGGGAGCAGCCTTCCCACCACCTCGGACCTCTACACTTCACAATGCAGGGGAGGGCGCTTTGCATCATGAAGGACTCCACTCATCCTGCACACAGTCTGTTCCAGCCCCTCCCCTCAAGCAAATGGCTGAGGAGCATTCAGAGCAAGACCACCAGGCTCAGAAACAGATGTCAGACTGCTGAACTCAAGCTGCAATTAATTCAGCTTCATGTTACAATTTTTTAAACTTTTAATTTTACATACATTACATTTACCTATCTATCTATCTATCTATCTATCTATCTATCTATCTATCTATCTA